TAGCGTTGCCATGACAACTGGATCATGGTTTATGTGTACTATTAAAACATAAAATTTTAATTTTAATATTATTAGAAGTTTGATTCAATAATGAAATATAATTAATAAATTATTAAAATAATATATTTTTATACCATTTATATTTTTTTACTGTGAATTGTTATATAATGAATAAAGTGCTGGTATTTGTTAATAGTATTTGTTTTTACCCATATAAGATACTATAAAAACTAGTTGTAATAATAATAATAAATAGTAGTCTGCGCAGGTCCATGGTGTGAGAGCCACCACAAATAAATGATTCCCTATCCCTTCATCATGTATCACTATATTTTAATTGTTAATACACCATTAACACTATATTTTTCCTCCTCTTTTTACACATTTTTTTTTATGTATTTTCCTTTCCAAACTTCTGCTTCCATGCTTTCTGATCCTGCGCTTCGGCTTTCAGTTCAATCATCTGCACTCTTTTTCTTCCCAATCCTTTCTGTGCTTCTATTTTGCCTTTGACGACGTCGTGTAGGAGGCACTTTTTTGCTGATTGAGTTTTTTGCCCACTCTTCTCAGGACTTCTGTATTTATTGTTGTCTTGTCAGTCCACTTTATTTTCTCCATTCGCCACAAAACCACATTTTAAAACACTCCAGATAGTTCTTGTCGGCCTTTCTTAGAGTCATGTCTCCGATCCAACTCCAGTGATATGATCCAAACGCACTTTACCAGTCTCTTCCGCAAGTCGAAGTTCAGTTTGCTCGTCAGTAGCGTTCACTTCTTTGTTGCAATCCTTGTCCTGATCTCTCTTGTGCAGTATTCGTCTTTGGTCAGAATGCTTTTTAAATCGGGTCACCCGTTTTTGAGACAAAAAGTGAAAAATCCGTTCACATACGTTCTCACACACTCTCTCCAGTTTTGTTCTGATCCCACGATTCAAAATAACCGGAAACGACAACGAAACATAAAATTAGGGAGTTGGATTTTCTGGCAAAAACGTAAACTTGTCAGTAGATAGTTCTAGCAGTAACCAAGCTTAGACATATAGTATGCTTAGTAGATAAACTACTGCGACACATGAGTTATTTCCTTTTCGCATTATATACTTCTGGTTAAATAAAAATGTCTAATTTTGTGCCAAACAATCGTCATTTGCGAAAACTGCTGATTTTCTTCTTCCATTCGAAAAAACGGCAGCTCAAGCGCATCAAGAGCTCCAAAAAGTGCACGGAAATGCTTTTCTGAGAGAAACAACATGCCGTGATTAGCTTCGTCGCTTCAAAGACGGTGATTTTGATATTGACGACTGTTCTCGTGAAGGAAGGCCCAAAACCTTCGAAGGCGCTAAATTGGCGGACTTGCTCGAAGAGGATTAGGGGTTACCCATCAAGCCATTTACAAGCGATTGCGTGCGTTGGGAAGTAGTACAAAACAGGAAAGACCAAAACCTTTGAAGACTTGCTCGAAGAGGATTGGTGTCAAACTCTGAAAGAGCTTGCTTCAGAATTAGAGCCATTGCCAAGGGATTGCATGCATTGATGAGTAGTACAAAACAGGAAGGCCCAAAACCTTCAAATACGCAAATTTGGAGGCCTGGCTCAAGGGACTCGCGCCAAACTCAAGAAGAGCTTGCTTCAGAATTAGGAGTTCCCCATCAAGCCATTTCCAAGTGATGGCATATTTTGGGGAGTAGTACAAAACAGGAAGGTCCAAAAGTACATTAGGAAAACCGTTAATTAAAAAACATAACACTGCAAATCCTTTTTAAAGTAAAATATAGTAATAAGTTGAATTATTTTTTTATTCAAAATCTTAAAAAAAAGAAACAAATTTCTATATAGTGACTTAGCAGTCTGAAATAATCAAATAAATTTTAATTTATTTATAAATTAAAATTTATTTATCAATTTATGTACAATTCAAATTTTATATATTAATTATATAAATTATTGATCAAAATCCTAGCTAAAGAAAAGCTAATAATCGAAATATTTATATCACTATAATTGCAAATATTATCAAGTAGTAAATTATAAGACTTGAAACTATTTGCAAAATTATGGCTTATTTTATCTGTATCATTAAAAGTACCTTATAAATTAATTATATACATATTCATGTTGTGATTATCCATTAGATAATATTAAATTCACTCATTAGATTCCGAAATACTCGCTGCTGATGTTAAATACACTGAAGCACCATTATTCTGGCCGACTTGTAAGATTTGTGACTGTGCAGTCGACCTCGGCAAAGCTTGTAAGACTATCGGTTGTGATGTGTTATTCTGCATTTGCATTCGAATCATATTCAATTGTGCCGGTGTCACAGATATAGGAACATGTTGCACCTCTCCAGAAGGCGATACAATCTGTTGCATAATTTGAATGTTACTTAAGCTATTGTTACTCGTTGTTAAAGGCGTTGTCAAAGTTGCTGTTTGTGCATTATCCGCTGTTGTTACATTTTGAGTAGTAACTTCTGTGGTGTTATTGGTTGCTTGTGTGACTGTTTGTTGTTGTTGTTGTTGTGCTTGGTTTTGTTGTTGTGCAAGCTGAACGTAGTACTGTATTTGCTCAGAAGTCAAAACTCTAGATACACCCTCTTCACGTGGCTTTTGGGGTTTAATTTCATCCCTGGGCACTATGTCTATCAAAAAATCAAACTGATCATTTATTGTAACTGCCATTGCAATATCACTACGCTGTAACGTCCTTCTTTTATTATCCTCTGTGTGTGTCCATGCTCGTAGAGTTAACTCGTTTATAAATATCTCTGCAGCTTTAGCAAACAACATAGGTGCTTCTGCAGAAATCATTTTTACATCGTCGTCTAATTTCATGATCTTTTTTATACGTGCTAAAGGTAAAGATTGGTGTTTGAAATCCTCAGCAGTTACGTTGTTTATTTCTTCCATAACTTTGGGCCAGAAATTTGCCAAACTTATTTGAGCCTCTGTGGGAGAGGTCTCTTGGGCAGGGGTCATTTCAGACTTTTCTTCCATTAGAACTAAGAAGTAACAGGTTAAATATTAAATGTAAACAAAGATGTAAATGTAACCACAATACCTGGAGTTAATCACGTACAAAACAGTATAGAAGGTTTATGGTAAGTTTGTATATAATAAATTAATAGTTAGCACTAAATAATATAAATATTTAATAAATATAAATAAATGTTAATCACAGTATTTTCGGCTTCTATAAGCTGTCAAAAATGACGCCCATGTACCAACATAACAGGAATATAAAGGTACTTCCACACCTAACAAACGAACAAAAACGAACATAACGAACAAGTAAATCAAATTAACACTACTTTTTTATAATATAGAATAACAAATATATGTTTAAATAACAATTAAATAATATTTTAAAGACAAATACATTTAATACGTCGTAATAATTTTGTGTAACTGAAAAGATTTGAAGTTTACGTCCAACCATCGTCCAACTGTCAATCAGGCGCCATTATTCAAAATTAGTTGGAATAATTTAAAATTTTATATTACAATACTCTTTGAAATAAAACGTGCATATATCAAAGCAAGTCTTAACAGTTTATATTAAACAAACTCAATAATACTCAATACTCAATAATATATTTAACTGGTTAGTATTGGTATTTGCCTTGAGGCAAGTTACATGAACTTTCCGATATGTGTGAATAATCGACTTAATCAATAAAAAATGAATTAATTTATGAGTGATTAAAAGTATTCTGAGTGGATTTATTACATATATCTGAAAACGAGCAAATTTTCAAAAATCAATAATTTTTATAATTGAACTTGAATGACTTTAATGATTTAGTATGTCCATTAAGACCAAGTACTCTATCGATCAAATAAATCGTCTAATTTTCATTTATTATTATATTATATTATTTTAACAAAGGTCAAAAATGTTACTCATTTTCTCAAACTTTGATGAATGTTTAAAATTAAACTACTTGCCGTAAGGCCGTAATATTTCAGTAAGTTCTATAAGACCATGGTATATATTGCCAAAACAAAGTTCTATAAAAATCGGCTTAATTTTTTTTTCAACAGTGAAATACAAGAAAACGGCTCGGTAGATTTTCACTTAAAACTAATTAGCATCATTCCTAATAGTATGAGCTTAAATGTGGGCGAAAAGTTTAACACGTTTTTCCAAATTACAAAGAAATGGCTCGGCAAATCGTTTCACAAAACTGACAAACAATAGTCCTCACTGAGATACATCGAAAAGTTTTTAAATTTCTGAATTCGGTTCAGGCGTTTTTGAGCAAACGTCGATGAAAGGTCTAATTTTGACAAATGCCAAAAAAACGATACCAATTTTTGCAAATTTTGAAGAATTTTTAAAATTAAACGAGTTGTCGTAAGGCCGTAATATTTTAGTATGATCTATAAGACTATGGCATCTACCGTCAAAAAATAATAATAAAAATCATCGAATTTTTTTTAACACTTTATTCCAACCAAGAAAACTAATCAGCGCGATTCCCAACCAATATCCTTCGAACAGTTTTTGTATTTTCAAAATCGGACTAAAACGTGGACGAAAGATTTTGCACTTTTCTGCGATTTACAAAGAAATGGTTCGGCCGATCGTAGCGCAAAACTGCCAAGCGCTGGTCCTCATCGAGATACATAGAATGGCTTTTAAATTTATGAAATCGGTCCAGCCAGTTTTGAGAAAGCGACGATTTACGGCAAAAAATCAGTTCACACGCACACATACTTTTTTCAAATTTGGTCTCATTCGATTCAGAAAGGCTTGAACCGTCGACAAAACATAACATAAAATTAGCAAATCGGATTTTTTTATAAAAACATAAACTTCTCCTTTAGGGTAGAAAATATTTTTAAAATTATCATTTATCAATGTTGGCAACAGTCCGCCATTGCCGCCATGTTTGACAGTTTTGACAGCCAATATAAATAATTCATCATGTAAACTAATTTGTTAATTTTAAGTTTAACTCGAAGCTAATAATTTAAATGTAAAAAAATTAGAATATTATTATGTCTCAACTACAAAATAATCAATCAATTAAAATCGAACCACTGGATAATATAAATTCGGATCAGCAAAATGAAAACAGTAGTCTTGTCAATAGTCAAATATGTTCAGACGACGACGAAGGTTGTTTAGAAAGATTTGAAAAGTCCGACATAAAAGTAGAGCAAGAAATAGTAACAGAAATAATCCGTGTACCTGTCAAGAAACAAAATCCACGCAAATGCAAAATTTGTGACAAATCCTTCCCCAAGGCCTGCGATTTAAAAAAACACATGGTCTCTCACAGTAACGACAGGCCTTACACTTGTATAACTTGTAATAATACTTTCAAACGCTCCAAAGCCCTATCGGCTCACTTAAAAATCCATTCAGGCACCAAACCTTATGTGTGCGATATATGCAACCAAGCATTTCCTCATACAACAGCTTTAAGACACCAAAAAGTATTCCACAAAGGAGCTCGTAAATATAAATGTGAGATATGTAACAAAGCCTTCATTCGGGTAGGTCATTTACAACAGCATTTAGCAACTCACACAGGTGAACGGAAGTTTAAATGTGATTTCTGTCCTAAAACATTCACACAATCAGGCAGTTTATCAAATCACATAAACACTCATACAGGATTGAGATTATATGAATGTGATAAGTGTGATAAGACATTTAATAATTCCAGTGACCTCCATAAACACTTTGTGACCCACAACGAAGAACGACCGTTCGAATGTGAGCTGTGCAATAAATTATACAAACGTCCTGCACATTTGAAACAGCACATGTTGCTCCATGCAGGGGTAAAGCCCTATAAATGTGATATTTGTGATAGAATGTTTAGCCGCTCCTATCATTTGTCACAGCATTTGTTGGTTCACAATAATGATGATATTTATAGTTGTACAATTTGTGATAAATCCTTTGTTCACGAGGGTCGGTATATAAACCATATGCTTATTCATAATGAAGAATTGAATTTTGAATGCGATCAATGTGATAAGGCTTATAATCAGCCTGCGAGCTTGAAAAGACACCAGAAGACAGTACACAAGGATAATTGAATTATAATAATAGAATTTTAATAGATTATAATAGAATCACTCATATTGTATTATTATTTAATATTAACAATTTTTTTTATTGTGTATAGTTACTATTATAATGAATATTACCATTTATATTTATGAATTTTAAATTTAAACCATCCTACTAACATTATACATAAATGTATTGATTTTTATCTCGATAAGTTAAATATAGTATAATATAATTAAAAAACAAATTGCCAACAATAGTAGTTTCTGTAAATATTGTATTTATAAAAAAATGTGCAATATCAAAATTATGATAAATACAGATAAATAATGAAAATTCTAATGAAGGTTCATTTCTAAATTCTAATTACAATGACAAACCGATCATGTCTTGATGACTTTAATTACATTATTGTTTTTAAGTATTTTTAGATATCTGGTTGTCCAAAATACAAATTGAATCTGTAACACTGCGACGGTTATCCACAAAATTTAGAAATATTCTTCACTAAACTTCTCCCAGCTCTCCCACTATCTTTTAACTTTTGTATTTCATCATATCATTTGTATTTTTAACTTCCTGAAAAAGCAGTTTCGGTTTTGGTTATCGATTTTTCTCAAAAACGGCTGAACCAATTTCAAACATTCAAAAGCCTTTTGATTAAACTTGATAAAGAGTAGCGGTGATTAGTTTCGCTCGTCAATCGGCCAAGCCGTTTCTTCAGAAATAGATGAAAAGTGCAAATAAATGTCCACGTTTTTCCATATTAACCCTTTCCTTAATATCGGCGGCATCCGGGCAGAAAGGGTTAATTATAATTTATTACTGGGTAGTAATATTTATCATAACATGTTTTTATTTATAAAATCGTATTCTATTTAAAAATAGCTTTTATTTGATACCTCACATGCCATAGAACACTGATTAAATTTTTTGAAGTTAAACTTCTTTAGATTCGCTTACTACAAATCCATGAAAAATGCAATAAAAGTGAAGTGAAGAAGTAAAAGTAAACTCAGGCATTTTAATATTCTTTAACATTATTTTATTATATTCCATAATATCAAGCAAATTGGAGCACAGTCAAAAAGTTCACAGGTTACACCCTTTTTCCTCTCCATTTACTGCACTAATTTTGTTGATCGTAGATAGAATAGTGCACATATGAACGTCAGAATTTGATAAATTAATTCGCTTAAAATATGATCTTAAGTAATAATTATTAAGAAAAATGTAATTTAGATATTATAATTACTAAAAAAAAATTAATATTATAAACATTATGGGCAACATTATAGAAGCAATTATTTTGAGTAAAAAAAAGTAGAAGTTTTTTGAACCATTCAATTTGGTTGATCCGTGCGCCCGAAAACGTAGACGAAAAATTGTATCCATAAATACATACATACACACACACATACATCAATTTTTTCTGAGGTGTGCCAAAATATTCAGAAACCCCTGAAACGTAAAGATATATAAAAAATTTCATTTTCGATTTTTTTGTGTGTGTGTGTATGTGTGTTCGGATACAAATTTTCGTCAAAAAAACATTCGATTTGTATTGATAAGGAGACGTGCTTATTAGTTTTTATTGAAATTTGGTATTTCGAATTTTCTCGAAAATACCTATAAAATGGCATCAAAATTATTTAAATACCAGGGTGGGGCCAATTCTGTATGAAAACACGCCCATACCCTTTAGTTCATAGTTTCTCAAAAATCTAATATTTTCAAAGTAATTTTTTTTCAAAAATGTTAATTGTTTTTAAAAAAATAATTTTTGGCATGGGAAGTTCCAGCAATTTGCCTTAAGGCACGATGCCTTAATTGCCTAAGACAGAATTCCACTTACAGCTAGTTTAATTATGATAAGTTTATTATTACCGGGACAGCGCGTACGCAGTCCCGACTACCAAAAATTACGCGCCCGAGTTATCCACATTAGGGACAATCGCAGGGGTCAGCCCAACCGAGGTGCAATGGAAGGGCCTCGCCCTGGGGGAACCGCCTTAGTGATCACGGTAGCCCCCAGGCCCTTGTATCTCAGTGTAAAACCCGCGTTCACAAACCGTGCTTAAAGTAACATAACCTAGGTGAGGATTTGGCGCTAGTGAGCCGATTTCATGTTGCGTAGCAGGTTGGTAAGTCTTATCTAACTCTAAAATTTCAATCTTTCATCTCTTTCATGTTGGTTGCGTTCGTTTAATTTTAACTTCGAAGCGGGAGGATCATTTTTCTCAGTTTTCCACATCGTTCGATTGTGTTGTGCGTTTTATACAATATTTTGAACAGATAATAAGTATGGGTTATAAATGCATAGTTCCAGGCTGCGGTAAAATTCGCAATACTGCGTTATTGCATAGATTCCCTCGCGACGGAAGAGTATTCAAGGAATGGTTAAAGCGCATTCAAGTGCCTGCACTTTATACCATGAGTTGGAGAGAAATATACAAAAGAAAACGTGTGTGCACGGAACATTTTAGTCAGACGTGCAGAATGCGTGGTTCTTGGCGTGGTTCAAACCTGAAACTTGGTTGCTTGCCTACAGTTAATATGCCGGGATTCACAGGAGATCCATTATTGGAAGTGAATTGTTTCCTGGTTTCAGACAATTTAGGTAAAAAACACATTGCATTTAATTTTCCTTATCTTTCCCCTATCCAATAATTTTTATTGATTTTGTTTCAAGTAAATAAAATAACATGTCCAACAATTATATCCAATAATTTTTATTGATTATGGATATCATGCTGCATATTATTTTCTCTATCTTTTCTCTATCCAATAATTTTTTTTGATTATGGTTTTAAGTAAATAAAATGTACATAACATATCAAATATATTATTATAATTATAATTACCTAGACATATAATTATATCCTATAATTTTTATTGATTATGGATAACATGCTGCGTATTATTTTTTCTATCTTTCCTCTATCTAATAATTTTTTTTGATTATGGTTTTAAGTAAATAAAATGTACATAACATGTGTTATTCTTATTGCAGAAAAAAAATGTGCAAAACCATTTTTTACAATGCACTTTTCAGTGCCATCAATATCCAATGAATTGCCACTTGCAGGAAAGTTACTAAAGAAAGAAATTGTCATTCGAAATGAAATTACTTCTTTGCAATCTGAATTCCTAGATGTTTCTTCTCTTATTGAAGGTTATTTAAAATGGTTTCATATAGCTTTTACTTGAAATTTTTTAGATAAATTAATAATTTTAAATTCAATTTCAGTCGATCTATCTGCGCTCGTTCCAGATGTTTCAGATGTTCCGGTTGTTCCAGATGTTCCGGTTGTTCCAGATGTTCCGGATGTTCCAGATGTTCCGGTTGTTCCAGATGTTCCTGCCAATGTACCTCATATAGCTATAAGACGATCAGGTATTTCAATGTTTCTTGAAAAGATATATTTCTTATTTAACTAATAAAATCATTCATTTTCTTAGATATTCGAACACCAAGGAGAAATTTCTTGAAGTTTATAGGTGTAAAGCATCGCAGACAGCTTTCATCAAAATTAAAGAAATGTCATGATATTATTATGACAATGAAGAGAAGTGCCAGACGAATTATGAAAAATCATGAAATTGCCAGAGCTGAGCTAAAGGAGGCTTGCAGTACAAACAGCATGAAAGAAGTTGAAAATGTTGTCAATTCAATAACTGCAACATTGATCAAATGCCAGATGAAAAATCAGCCGAAACAGCCTAAAGGAAGAAGATACAACCTCGATGAAAAAGCACTGGGTATCGCATTGTACAAACAGAGTCCATCCTGTTACAAATATTGGAGGTCCTTTTTATCTTTACCTTCAAAAAGCACTGTTTCTAAGTCCTTGGCTAATATTCCGATCAGCTCTGGTATAAATAAAACTTTCATGGAGACTTTTCTGTTCTGAATATGGATCCATCTCAATAGAAACTGTGTTCTGATGTTTGACGAGATAAGTATTTCTGCAGGTCTTGATTATGATGAGAGTAAGGATAATAACAGGCTTCGAGGAGGTTACAGAGAGGAGACCAAAGTTTGCTGACCATGCTTTGGTGTTCATGATTAAAGGCATTCGTGGACACTTTAAAACATCAGTGGCATTCTACTTTGCTGAAAGTAGTGTCAAAAGCGCTGAACTTAAAGTTTGTATAAGAGAAGTTATATCAAGCCTGCAGGAAATTGGTCTCACGGTTGTAGCCACTGTATGTGATCAGCATGCTACAAATGTCGCCGCAATTAACTTGTTGCTTAACGAGACAAGAGCACAGTTTCTCAAAGAAAACAGAAGTTGCAAACTTCAAGGCTTTCTTGTTGGTGATCAGGAAATCATACCACTTTATGATCCACCACATATGTTGAAATGTTTGAGAAACAGCTTTTCATCATATGATGTCACTTTCATTCAACGTAATCAAGAAAAAAGGGCATCCTGGAGCCATATAATTAAGTTATTTGAAATTGATTCAGAATTGCCCAATTTCGCATGTACGATGTTACAAGACAGCACATAACGTGTATCCTGACAAAATGAGAAAAATGAGAGTGAAGGATGCTGCAGTGGTGTTTTCTTATAGCGTTTCATCAATGATGCACAGATATGCTACTAAGCAGTGTGAGTAAAAGAAAATGATGTAAAATGTATTTAATCGCATTTATAATACAACCTCTTTTAATCGTATTCTAGATGATAATTTTCCTCAAGAAGGTACTGGGACTGCTGATTTCCTGAAATTCATAGATGAGCTGTTTGACAGTGTGAATGGAACAGCTTCTAGTTCTGCCAGTGACTATAAACCTCTTCGCAGTGCTCTTACAGATAAGTCTAAGCATTTAGTATTTTGGAAGGAAGCTAGACATGTCTTAAAAAGCATATGCTTCTATAAGAAAGACAAGAGAGTTAAAACACCACCAACTATTCAAAATTTTATTAGAACATTGGAGGGTTTCGAATATATTTGGCAGAAAATAAAGTGTCCGGAAATTAAATTTTTGTCAACTCGTAATTTTAATCAAGACCCTCTTGAAAATTTTTTTGGTAGTATTAGAAGTCACGGGGTAAATAATCGCAATCCTTCTTGCAGTGCTTTTATTGGATCCTATAAAAGTCTTGTCGTCAATAAATTTCATTCCGTCCATTCTTGCTCTGCCAATTGTGAGCTTGATAAAACAGAAGGTGCGATTGATTCGTTAAAAACATTACTATTGTCTAATGCATCAGTCAATTCCATGTGTGAATCTAGCTTGCATGAAGATGTTTTAGTTTCGTCTAATGTAAATACTGATGAATTCACATTAGAAGAAGTTAGTAGCAGTTTACTGCATGTCCAGGTGAATACATACATGACTGGCTTCATTACCAAGAAAATGTTAAAAAATGTTAAATCGTGCTCCATGTGTAAGTCCCATATTTTAGCAACAGAAAAGGATGGAGATGATTATTGGCTGATAAGGGTTAGGGATCGCACTGGAAAATCTCTTGTTTTTCCTTCTAGAAGCTTTGTTCACATTTTTTCCAAATGCGTTAGAGTTTCGGAACATTTTTTACCTAAAATTTGTGTAAAAAATAATTTAAAAACATTGCTTAGTTGCATTGTGGATAAATTTGTTTTTACTCAAAACTTTAATTTTGATTGCCCAATACACAATTTAAAAGTAATATTTTTGAACCATTTTGTACCGTATTTTATAAAATATTGGGTAAATGATATTAATTTGGCACTACGCGGTAAAATAACTTTTTCTAGCCCTATGAATGTTATGAAAACAAAAGCTCTATTGCGTTTTGATAAAATGAGAAAGAGACAACTGGCAATTCGTAACACAAAGCGTGGTGTGCGCTAATTTTTTTAATTTACCTTATATATATTATTTATTATACATATGCATATCATATACACATACACACAAACACACACACAATATTAGATTTTTTTGTTCGAGGTTGTGAAAAAAAATTCTTTTAGAAACTGTAAAAAATTTCAAAAAGGGTTGCTGAATGATGACACACAACCATGTCGAAACGTATAAATAAATAGTTCTTTATTTATTTTTTCATTTATTTCGACAATTGCCTGAAAATTAACATTCAAGAATATATATATATATATAGATATATATATATTATTCACTTACATTTTTTACTGCTTGTGAATTCTTTTGTTTTCAGAGCATGAACAAAATTATATGGTGCAAGAAACATCTATTAGCTTTTTAACTACTCATTCTGAAAACTAGTGGTTCTTTAGTTGAAACATATGTGTCCTAGACAATAATATGTGTGTTTATTATTGTATGCATTCAATTTTATTATTATCAAAAATTATATTTCTGAATCCTTCTGTATGTGGTAATTTTCTGGTGACTGATACTCCATTCCATTTTATATTATGTATTCTTTTCAATTTATTATCGTTACTTACTTACATTTCTGTATACTTGTATTTATTATAATTTTTACTAATGACTATATTCTAATCCATTTTATTATTGTTAGAAATTATATTTCTGTGTGTTGTATGTATTATAATTTTTACTAATGACTATTCTATTCCAGATTATTATAATTAGAAAATGCATTGCTGAAACCTTTCATATTATAATTTACTGATGACATGTGACTATATTTTACTAAAATTATTATAGTAACAGGTTAGAACCCAATCGAAATTGTTATGACAAGAATGAGTGATTTGTATTGACACATGTAGTATTGCCTTCTTTTACTTTTATTTATGTGATACAAATATTGTTTGATATGTCATTTTCATTGTATTTTTACAAAATATAATATTGTAATACAAAAGTTCAATTCAAATAAATTGTTTTTCAAATTATACATTTGTTATTTATATTTATTTTAAAAACTGTAATATTTTTATTTCAAATTTTGGCGCGCTAATTCGAATGCCGAGCGATACGCGATTGAAGCGCCATTTCGAACT